ATAATGAATGCCGTAATTGAAACCTCGACTGTGGAAACTGAAGAATCTGCAGAAAATGTCGAAATTGAAACTGAGACGGAGATCGCGAAAGTCAAAAAATCAATAGATAATGTCGAAACCGAAAATTCTACTGCGGAGACTGAAGAACCTACAGAAAATATCAAAATTCAGTCCGAGACCGAGATAATGAATGCCGTAATTGAAACCTCGACTGTGGAAACTGAAGAATCTGCAGAAAATGTCGAAATTGAAACTGAGACAGAGATCGCGAAAGTCAAAAAATCAATAGACAATGTCGAAACTGAAAATTCGACTGCAGAGACTGAAGAACCTAATGGTAAAATTCAGAACAAGACCGAGATTATGAATGATGTAATTGAAAATTCGACTGGGGAGACCGAAGAATCTGCAGAAAATGTCGAAACTCAAACCGAAACAGAGATCATGGAAGTCGAAAAATCTATAGAGAATGCCGAAATCGAAATTTCAGCTGCGGAGACTGTAGAGTTTACAGAAAATTTGACCGGAATCATGATGGCCGAGAAGTCTGCAGGTAATGCTGAAACCGAAGAATCTACTGTGGAGGCCAAAGAAAATGTCGAAATTGAAACCGAGACCAAGGTCATTAAGGCCGTGAAGTCTACAGGTGATTCCGAAACCGAAGCCTCTGCTGTAGAGAGTGAAGAGATCAAAATTGAAACCGAGACCGAGAAGTTTACAAATCATGCCGAAACAGAAGCCTCAGTCGTAGAGACTGAAGATAATGTTGTTGAAATTAAAACCTCGGCTGCGGAGTCTACAGAAAACGGGGAAATTGTAACGGATTATGCCGAAATTCAAACTTTGAATGTGAAGACTGTAAAGTCTACAGAAAATATAAAAACTGAGCCCGAAACCGAGATCATGGAGTCCGAGAAATTCACCGACGATTCCGAAATCGAAGCCTTGGTTGTGGAGACTGAAGAAAATGTCGAAATTGAGGCCGAGATTAAGATCATGGAGGTCGAGAAATCCACAGGCGATGTCAAAACTGAAGCCTCGGCTGTGGATGTTGAAAATAATATTGAAATCGAAACCCCAGCCATGGAATATACAGAAAACGTAGAAATTGCAACCGAGACCGAGATCACGAAGGTCGAAAAATCTATAGTTTATCCCGAAATTGAAACCTCGACTGGGGAGACTGAAGAATCTACAGAAAATATTGAAAATGAACTCGAGACCGGGGTCATGAAGTCTGAGAAATCAACAGACGATGCTGAAATTAAAACCTCGGCTGTGGAGACTGAAGAGTCTACAGAAAATGTCGAAATCAAGGCTACAGAATCTATTGAAGAGTCTTCAGAGATTGTGAATGCAAACTTTGAGTCTTCGGCCGTAACAACCGTGGAACCTACGAATAATATTGAAACTGAAACCTCGATAGTTATAGTCGATGAATCTGCCGAGAATACCGAAATTAAAACCTCCACAGTAGAGATCGAGGAGTCTTTGGAAAGTATTAAGCCCGAAACAGAGACTATAAAGACTGAGGAATCTGTGAATGTTGAAACTGAAATAGAAATTATAAAGCCAAAAGGACTTTCCGAGAATGTTGTAACTGGTGTTGAAATAATAGAGACTGAGGAGTCTTCAGAGAACACGGAGAACTTTGAAACCAAAACCGAAAAGTATTTGGAAAATGATGAAATCGAACATGAGACTTTCCCTAATAGTGAGTGGCATTCGGAAAATAATGAGACAGAGACCTGGACCATAAAAACCTGGGATTCTTTGGAGAATGCTAAACCCGAAACAAAGACCTCTGAGACTCGAGAATTTTCAGTTTTGACATTATCTATAGATTTTTCGACTTCCATGATCTCTGTTTCGGTTTTAATTTCAACATTTTCTGTAGATCCTTTGGCATCCGCAATTGAAGTTTCAATTATGGTATTCGTGATCTCGGTCTTGGTCTGAATTTTGCCATTTTCTGTAAGTTCTTCAATCTCTGCAGTCAAATCTTCAGTTTCGACATTGTCTAAAGATTTTTTGACTTTCGCGATCTCTGCCTCAGTTTCAATTTCAACATTTTCTGTAGATTCTTCAGCCTCCACTCTCGAGTTTTCAATTACAACATTCGTGATCTCGATCTCGGTCTCGGTTTGAATTTTAACATTTTCTGCAGGTTCTTCAGTCTCTGCAGTCGAATTTTCAGTTTCGACATTATATATAGATTTTTCGGCTTTCATGGTCTCGGTCACGGTTTCAATTTCTACATCTTCTATGGACTCATCAACCTCTACAACCGAGGTTTCGGTTTTGATATCCACAAGAGATTTTACGGGTTGTATGTTTTCAGTTTTAGCGAGATTTGTGATATGAGAATTTTCCTTATCGTTAGAATTCTTTGAAGGTTTCTCCATCTCATCATATCCAACCTTCTTGACGTGCGGATCATTTTCAATACTATTCGATCCAACAGTGTATTCATTAACATGTATTGTCTCTTTAACACCAAATTCGGTTTCAACACCTAAAGACTCATCGGCCTGTGAAGTTTCCAAAGCGTCAAAAGATTCAATAAGTTTCGCCGCTAGCTCGGTTTCATCGTTATCTGCGGCTTCTCTAATATTTGTATTATATTCGGTTGTAACTATTTGTTCATCGTGGTTTTCTACAAATTCCTCGGTCATATCTCCTTTCTTTTGTTCCACAAAAAGTATTTTATCGACCGTCGATTCTCCTCTTTCCTCAACAAGTCTTTCGTCGTCTTTAGTCTCTTTTTCGTTGACATGTTTTCCCTCATTTGTTACTTCATCACCCTCGACGAATCCTTTCTCGACTATGATTTGAGTTTCTTCAACTATCTCGTCTCCGATTACAGTATTTTCTTCTATGGAAGATTCCTTTTTAACTGTTTGTTCTTCGATTACTTGCTGTTCTTGGCTTTGTTCGCTCATGAATGCTTGTTCATTCAAATTATCTTCACATTTTGACTCTTCCTGCTCGTGTATTGATGTAGCGCTAGAAGTTGGTGATCCTGCTTCACTCGATAAAGGGCTTTCTGGTTGAGGAATTTCAACCAAAGCCACGTGATTTAAATTGTTTTGATTGTCGGGAAAGCTGGGAAGGTCTGAATTCACAATCCAATTGCCGTCAATAACAAATTTATAATGATAGGATTTTCCTGGTTGTAAATTAAGAGTAATCTTATAATCGGGCGAACCGTCGTCTTTATGCATGTCAATTGGATTCCATGATTTGTATTGAGGATCAAAATCTCCGGCCACCTGCACATGTGAACCCCAATGCGGCCAGCTGAAGGTGAATGGGACAAGAAAGTTTTCGGTCATTGTTCTGTGGAATGTTTTATAAAGAAACCCACCAGGTTCATCACGTTATAAATACAAGAAGAAAGAAAAGTGTTAACCGATTAATGCGTGTAAATGCAGATCATAACATGATATTACCTTAAGATTCTTCGGGACTTGAAGAGCGAGAAAGCCTCTGGGATATGATGTTAAAAATAATAAATAGTAACCACCTTGAGTGTGATAAAATATTTTGATAATTTACAAAAGCAAATAATTTTGAAAAATAAAGGACTAGGTAGTCGAAATGCGCCTTTTTATTTTTTACAGATTCGATTTGATAGATGAGTGATAAAGGACCAAATAATTACGCATTTATAATAAAGTCAAATATGGGAAAGGCGCTTTGCTTGTGATAATTCCAGTTTTTTTTTTTTTTTGACAAAGAGAAAATTTAATAGGAAAGAAGCAATCACCTTGAAAGGAAAGGATAGCTTGTAATTATTACAACAGGATAACGATCAAAAGGGGAATCGGCGTAGATTGTGCGGATAGTATGTACTAACGAAGCATATAGAGTATCTCCCACGTTTCAAAGGCAAAAAATTTTTTTAAATTTGTTTGCATCCATATAGAACGGATGGTAATAATGTCCATATGCAGTCTCGCAAAGGCCAAATCCTGTGTCGTAAAGGCATTCAGCGGATGGAACATGGTTTCCTATAACAGATATAAAGGTACAGAAAATTTTCCAAGAGAATACTATAACAGGAGTTTATCGATCACCTAAAAAAGCATGCTTTCAAAGGATCACCCATCATCGTTGACACCTTTTTTTTTCCTTTTTTATTTATTTTTTCACGCAGGTTTCATATTCTGATCTTTCATGAGTTATGATAAATCTACTCTGATATTTCCTTACTTACCGACATCCCCAACAAAACTGTATATATTTTTTTCGTACAAAGAGAAAAGTCGGGCTTTCAAAAACAATAAAGATCAGCTTCTTGCTTATTTCATAGAAAAAAAAAAAAAATGATGCATTCGTTGATTGAATACAAGCCATCCCCCATATAATTTTAGGTAATCAGTTATAAAAAAAAAAAGACTCTCCTTGACCAACTCTTTTCGTTTTCTTGTGAAACTTCCTATAAAGGCATCAATCAGAACGACACATGAAGATGACCAGAAAAGGAAATACACTCCATATTTGCAAAATCCTAAGCTTGCGAACGTTACACGATGGTTCGAGTACTGCAATTGTTTCATGGGCGATGACTAACAATAAAAATTTTATCTCTTAGTGATAACGCGTCTCTGACAAAGACGGGATTGACCGATCTGATTCATCTACGACATGCTTTGTCGATTATATATAATAATTTCTGATCATCCTCCATACTACCTCATCCCTCACAAAGACTCAAAATTATAAATGTGATGGCCAACGAATTCGCAGAGGTTCTCCACACATGCTTACACCCCCAAATAATCTGTCAATCATTATTTGTTATTTTTCTCCGCAATTCTTGATTTATGGTGGGAATTACTCGTAGGAGAATGAAATTAGCACAACCGTTGACATACGTGTCATTACAAGATTCGTATAATATTACATCATACCCCTATCTTATTTCACGTTTTTCATGATTCAATTATTTCTGTTGTATTGTAGGGTTGAATATAATACCCGTTTTTATATTGATTACGAATATTAAAAAGGTCTTTCCACCGTAATCAAGTTTTTTTTTTAAAAAAAACATCAAATGATTACCTGATATATTCATTATTACATCATATATTAATTAAGTTATTCTATAATTTAATATTAAAAATATTAATTTTTTTTTTATTTCTATAAATAATGTATATATACATGTTTTAATTTTTAATTAAGAAAATAATTAATTTAAAATTCAAATTGTTTTTTTTAAATACAGTATTTTATTCAATAATTAGGATTTAAATATACTACATAATAATAATTATTATAAAAATAATTATAATTATCTATAAAAATAAATCTAAATGATATTTAACTATTAATTATATAATTAATTAAATATAGACTTGTGGATCAATAGTGTAGTGGGTGCACTTTCAGGTCACCATCCATGAGTTACTGGTTCAATCTCACCTAGGAATAGTTTCCACAATATAAATTACATTGTACAAGATGCAAGCTCATCATCATATGTATCTTTATACTCACAAATAATCTATAGATTTCTACCATCCAATCATGATATAAAACTTAGGTCACCCAAACCTTGGTTGGTTTTAGTGCTAAGGAAATCTTCAATAAACCTGTCATCTGGAATATATAAGGATCCAAGATAAACCAAGAAAAAATAACAATCAGCTCGAGCCTCTTAATGAATATGGGAAGAACATCTACTTTTTGTCAAAACTACATTCTATAGGAGATAAAGAAGACTTCAGTTATTTGTACTTGTCGAAAATGTAATGAACCATAACAATAATTAATGGGAGATCACTATGATCATGAAATCAATAGCTATCAAAGAGAATAGCTATTGTAGAGGCTGATGATTAGTGTTAGTGTCATATTAGAAACCATAGGAGTGGACTAGAAATTTGAAAGAAGTAATTCAGTAAGTAATAATCAAAGGAAACTCCTGTAGGTCAACTTGCAAGAATGTTTAAAAATGAGGCAATGGAAGATTATATGTCATCCAATTATATGACACCATTGAATCACTTGGATATTAAGAACATGACCAGAAACTTGCATCATCTAAGTTTCAACTAGTCTGCAAAGAATCCAAACATGATAGGGATTGACTATATTACTCATAATTATCGAGTGGTAAACAAGATCCCATTAAAGAATATAAAATATAAGCCCCTTGAAGATTAACAGTAAAGAAGTCTATAATGGATCTTTGAAACACTATAGTCCCAGGTAAAATAGGACAATTAACAAAAATGGTACCACTGTGTGATAAAATTGATGAGTTTGATTAAGATAAATAGTTTAATTAAAGTTATATAAATCACTTATGTAATCTACTACTACTGAATTTTCAATAAACTTTATCCTATCAAGTTGAACTTTAAAATATTTTTTTTTAACCCGCAATCATGCCACAATGGCATGTCTTTATTGAAAAATTGAAAATAAATTTATAATATTTTACAGACTTTCACAAA